AGATCTGGAATCAACCTAAAAGTCCATCAACAGATGACTGCATAAAGAAAATGTGGTATATATACACAATGCAATACTACTCAGCCATAGGGCCGGCCTGGTGGCGCACTGCTACAGTGCACTGCTTGGGAAGCGCAGCGGCGCTCCTGCCGAGGGTTTGGATCCCACATACAGACCGGTTCCCGCTCACTGGCTGAGCGAGGTGCGGGCGCAACACCGAGGGTTGCGATCCCGTTGCTGGTCCCGGTCCGGTACGGGCGCGACACAGAGGGTTGCGATCCGTTGCCGGACACGAAAAAAGACAAAAAAAGAAAAAAAAAATACTACTCAGCCATAAAAAAAATGAAATTCTGCCTTTTGCAACAACATGGATAAGCTGGGAGAAAATTATGTTAAGTGAAATAAGCCAGGCACAGAAAGAGAAATACTGCATGTTCTCACCCATATTTGGAAACTAAAAAAAATTGATCTCACAGAAGTAGAAATAGAAAAGTTGTTACTAGATGCTTGCTAGGGGAGAGAAGAGATGAGTAGAGAGACACTGGTCAATGAATGCAAAATGGTAGACAGGAAGAATATGATCTAGCATTTTATAGCAATATAAGGAGACTACAGTCAATAACAAATTACTGTATAACTTCAAGTAGCTAATTGAGAGGATTCTGAATCTTCCCAATATAAAGAGGTGAAAAATGTTCGAGGTGATGGATGTGGTAAATATGATCATTACACACGGTATAAATGTATCCAAATATCACAATATATACAATTATCCATGGGTCAATTAAGAAAAAGAAGAAAAAACAAGAAATAGAGAGCAGAATAGTGGTTACCAGAGGTAGCGAAGGGGAGCGGGGGAGGGAAAATGGGGAAAGGTTGGTAAATGGGTACAAAGTTACAAAGTTATAGTTAGAAAGGAAGAATAAGTTCTGGTGTTCTAGGGTGACTACAGCTAATAATATTTATTGTATATTTCAAGATTGCCAGAAAAGAGGATCTTGAATGTTATAATAACAAAGAAATGATAAATGTTTAGGTGACAGATATGCTAACTATTCTGGTTGGATCATTATACAATATATGCATGTACTGAAACAAACTGTACTCTATAAAATGCACTGTTAAAAAAATAGGGCTGGCCAGTTAGAGCACAGTGCTGGTAACACCAACATCCAGGGTTTGATCCCTGTGCTGACTAGCTGCCAAAAACAAACGAATAAATTAACTAATTAATTAATTTTTTTTTTAAGTTTTTGTACAGAGAGTATATGCTCTTGGTGATTGCTAATTGACCCCAGACTGCCTTATAGTCATGCGCTTCATGTGAAATGTAAACATTACTCCTAAAAAAACAAGTAACACTCAAAGTGCTATAGATTTATCATCCTATTGTTCTTTTATTCCTTAATATACTAAACAATCTTATGCATTTTTCCATTATCAAAGTAATATAAGCCACATTAGAAAAAAGAAAAACAATCTACTGTATTAATATAGCTATGATGAACATTACTTCAATTTATTTTAAGTATTATTTGTCTTTTCTATTTTATTCAACTTACCATAAGCATTTTTCCATATTAGTACTGTTTTTGCAGCTGTCATTTAAATGGCTGACTAAGATTTTATCAGTGGCTTGGCCATATTTACTTAATTATACCTCTATTTTATTTATTTATTTATTTTTCCTTTTTTTCTCTTTTTTCATGTCCGGCAACGGATCGCAACCCTCAGTGTCACGCCCGTACTGGACCGGGACCGGCAACGGGATCGCAATCCTCGGTGTTGCGCCCGCACCTCGCTCAGCCAGTGAGCGGAACCGGTCTGTATGTGGGATCCGAACCCTCGGCGGGAGCGCCACTGCGCTCCCAAGTGGCGCACTGTAGCAGTGCGCCACCAGGCCGGCCCTATACCTCTATTTTAGATGATTAGGTTGTTTTAAACTATTATAAAATATGTTGTCATTAACATATTTATATGTATTGTTTTTCCTACATTTTTTATTTCTTTTCATTAGAATAAATTCTTTAAGTTTTAAATACTTAACATTTCTAACACTTAATATACAGCTCCAAATTGCTTTCCAAGATAAATCAGCAATGTATAAGAGTGCCACTGCACCTTTACCAATAAGTATTGCTTTTATGCCGGCATTTTTTTTTCCTTCTGCCTCAGATCAAGTAATCTGGGCTTTTGTACTCCTGTACTACTCAGGGGTTGGCTACCTTCTGCCCTGGGGGGAGAGGTGGGACATCAACTCTCCCCCACCCCACTTCTGGCTCTCAATGCATCTTGCCTACACATCCCCTATAGCCCAAGGGTAGTTCTCCGAACAAGGGGGCTGGAGAGTTGGGTTAGGAGCTGAGTGTGCAGAAGTTAGGGGATGGGCACACAGAGACAAATAAAGGAGACCAGGGAATCTGGTCAGAGCACTGATAGTGTCTGCAGCAATTGTGTTGTCAGAAGGTTGGAGATGAATAACCTTGTATGAGGTTGAAATGACCAATTATGACAGTTTAGCAAGTAGAGAAATAAAGTCAAGACTGAATGAATGGTCTTTCCCCAGACTATTCAGTCTTTCCAATAATATTTCCATGTTTTTTTATATAAAATAGATGCTTTGTTTCCAAGTTTAGCAGAAGGGAAATGTGGAAGATTTATAGGCAAAGAGGTAAGCAGTTGATTTGTTCAGAAAACATTCAAAACCTATTCAAATCTTGGAATTTGATTGGTTATATGTGTGCAGAGAAGCACTTGGGTTGTGAAATTGTGTGTTTGTTCTCTCTAGCAGGCCTATTTGGTCATCTTCCATTCTTGTCCTACTTTACAGTCATACACAGTCCTGTCTTTGCCAGAGTACTTTTATGCCTGCATTTTACTAGGCTTTGTATAACCCGTAGGCTTTGGTTCACATATTGAAATAAGACTATATCTAAAATGCTAATTAGTACTGTTTAACTCTTAACCACCAGGTGGAGCTAAAATTACAATCATAACTTAATAGTACCAATATTTCTCTCACAACACTATTCCTGAAATACTATAGGGAGTTTTCCTTTTTGTGACAATTTTGAAACATTAAGAGACAGAACTTTAGACTGAATTTTTGTTTTGTTTTTTTGGAGGTAGTTGGCCAATATGGGGATTCAAACCCTTGACCTTGATGTTATCAGCACCTTGCTCCAACCAAGTGAGCTAACTGATCAGCCTTAAATTGAATTTTATATATAAAAGTTGGAATCAGATTTAGGAAACCTGTCTATGAGACAAACAAGATTTTTCAAAATTTTCTGTTTTTATCCTTCCCATTTTGAACAAGAAACATAATTGAAATAATTTCTAGAGACAAGTACGTATCTCTGAAAGAAGCCAGTAATAAAGACGGCTGTGCTAGAGAAACAGTAACATCTTATTTAGGTGGTTTTAAAAAAGATATCTATTTAAATTTAATAAGGCATTCTATTTTTATCACTACAACTATAGGAAATAAAGGAAAACATACAGGCATATGGTCCAGAAACAATAATTTAGGAGGATCATTAGGCAAGTTTTAACTAACAATACCCAATGAACCTAAGACTATACCAGCTGCTAGGAACTTATGACTCAGGAATTCTGGCACACAGCTCTAAATCTTGGATGCAACTGATATTCTATCACTTCTCAGAACAAATGCCTTTCCTCTCTTTATCTCTCAAAACCTGTCCATCATCCTTTCCCCAACACACACACACACACACACACACACACACACACACGAAGATTCTACTCATATTCTCTAATATATCTGACAAAGAATAAGTCATAAAAAAGTAAAGATGTATCTAGAAATAACATTTTTCAGTCTGATTTTTCACCTATGTGGAACAATTCTAGGCCAAGGCTGTATGAGTGAAGTATATACTCCTGATCCTTTGTCCCTGTCCCTCCCAGGCAATTACTGCAGTTCTTTTTCCAACCTCCTTAGGTAGAGCTAGGTATACAAAAAGAAGTGAAGAACATGGAGCTCGAGCTGCTACTCTCACAGTTCAACTGACCATCTTCATATAACCCCACATCCTTTCTCTAGCAGTTACAACTTAATCATATTCCTTTGATTTTTACAACTCAAGGTTTATTATTATTATTATTATTTTTTTTTTTTTTTTTACTGACCAATAACAGGATTGCAACCCTCGGTGCCGCGCCCACACCGCGCTCAGCCAGCGAGCGGGAACCGGTCTCCACATGGGATCCGAACCCTCGGCGGGAGCGCCGCCGCGCTCCCAAGCGGCGCACTCTCCAGTGCGCCACCGGCCGGCCCTCAAGGTTTATTATTAATTAATTAATTGATTGGATGGGTGGCAGCCAGTATAGGGATCCAAACTCTTTTTTTTTTTTTTTTTCCGTGTCCGGCAACGGATCGCAACCCTCAGTGTTGCCCCCGTACCGGACCGGGACCGCAACGGGATCACAACCCTCAGCGTTGCTCCTGCACCTCGCTCAGCCAGTGAGTGGGAACCGGTCTATATGTGGGATCCGAACCCTCGGCGGGAGCGCCGCCACACTTCCCAAGCGGCGCACTAACGCATGCGCCACCGGGCCGGCCCGGGATCCAAACTCTTGACCTTTGTGTTATAACACCATGCTCCAACCAAATGGGATAACTGGCTAGCACTGTAAGGTTTATTACTGAATCCATAATTTTAAAGGAAAAATAAAAACTACCACAGCTGGAATTAAGAAAATATGGTATTGTGAAAAAAATCTAATGTGACCTCTGTCAATATAAATATATATATATATATATATATATATTTTGTCCTTTTTGAGACCAGCCACACCACACTCAGCCAGTGAGCGCACCGGTCATCCCTATATAGGATCCGAACCCGCGGTGGAAGCGCTGCTGCACTCTCCCGAGTGCGCCACGGGCTCGGCCCTAATATAAAAATATATTTATAAAAATCTTTTAACAAAAGCAAACACTAAAACAATGATCTTCCTTCTGTTACTTATACCTTTTGTTCTAAAAGTGCCCTGCGGAGAGAGACTCTCTGTTCAAGCTCCCGAAGCTCTCGATCATGTTGTGCCTCAGCTTGCATCTTGATTTTACTCTGATATGCATTCAACAGCTCCAGTTCCTGCTGCAGCTGCATCTTCAAAACCTGGCACTCTGCTTCCTGTGCTTCATCCAAACGCAGCTGAGAGAAAGAAAACAGAGAGAAAGAAAAAGAGAGAAAGAAAACAGATATATCCTAGTGTGAGCTATCTATTCATGACCTATGGAAAGGAAGAGGAGTGATAGAAGACAGACTACTCTTTTGTAAATTACACAATTGTTCTCTCATATCTTGGAGTAAACATCTCTGAAAATGAAAGGCACAGTAAACAATGGAGACATTATGAAGATAAAGCTATCATAAGCTATTTGGAGGATGCTTGAATAACCATATTTTTCTTAAGAAAAACCTAGAACCTGACTAGATGATATAAAACTCTGACTCTTCCTCCCCGGCAGAAATAACTATAGAAGAGAGACTAGCAAACTATAGCCTGCAGGCCAAATCTGGGAAGTTACCTGTTTTGTTTTGTTTTGTTGTGCTTTTATAGTCCACTGACTAAGAATGGCTTTTGCACTTTGAAATCGTTACATTTTAAATGATTATATAAGTACCCATATAATACCCTCACTTTTGGCTCCTGGCCTGCAAAGCCTAAAATATTTATTATCTGGCCCTTTAAAAAGAAGTTTACAAAGGTTTTATATAGAAAAATATTTTGTATTTGCATTCAAATGTGACCATGTGTATTCCCAATATATTACTACATTTTGCCCACTGCTTACCAAAGCTGCTGCTCCAATCTCAATACGCTTTTGGGATCTGTGCTGGCAGGGAGCCTATTTCGAATCTCATGCCTAATGTACCAATGAGAATTCTATATGCATCATGACATCTCCAAGCAATCTTGAGAGCAGAAAGAATATGGACATGGACCACCACCACTATTTCCCAAGCTGCAGGAGAGCTATCCTTTCCAACTAGTATTTTAATTGTTGAGATTTCATTCAGGTGGTGGAAGGAAAGGGGCACTGAATTTGTTTTGCCTAAACAAAGCAAACTCACGGCTTGTGTGGAGAGCATTTCATTAATGCTGTGATCATACTGCTCAGCCAAGATGGCTAACTTCCGGGTCTGCTCCTCTTTGAGCCGTTTCAGAACAGCTTTGTGCTCACTCTTTGGTGTAGTCTCCAGAAGGTGATTTCTTAATGCTTTGTACTGTCTGGTTTGGATTTTGCAGGTATCCTGAAACTGCTTTTTTATTTGGAGTTCTTTAGACTGGAAAGAAAAAAACAAATGTATATAAGTTTTTTTTTTTTTGTCTTTTTCCGTGTCCGGCAACGGATCGCAACCCTCAGTGTCGCCCCCGTACCGGACCGGGACCAGCAACGGGACCGCAAACCTCGGTGTTGCTCCCGCGCCTCGCTCAGCCAGTGAGTGGGATCCGAACCCTCGGCGGGAGCGCCGCCGCACTTCCCAAGCGGCGCACTACAGCAGTGCACCACCGGGCTGGCCCAGATGTATATAAGTTTTAATGTATGGCATTTGCTTGCTTACACGAAAATAAAGGCTACTAGGAAAAAGGGAGAGGGAAACAGAAAAGGTCAGATTGTAAGGTTGTAGGTACTTCTGCATTTTGCTATTGGCCCAAACCATTGCATTCTATGCCCTTTTACAACAAAAACACTAATTTAAAACATCAGAACATAAAGAACCTGATTTATCAAAGGACTTTAAGCAATACTTGTTATTTCAACAGTAAATTTAGTGACTCGAGTAAATATTAAAATCTTAGCTTTGATTACTGTGTATATTTATAACAGAAAATTCATTTCTTCTCATGAATTAAGTGTAATAGATACAAAAGAACTTTATTGGCCAGACAATATTTTATCAGATGTCTGAGGCATAAAATAAAGCACATTTATTCTGTTCCTTATCTGAAATACTTTACTCTAATTCCTTTTAATGACAATCTCAACTCCAAGTACATAGTGTAGACCCCACGAAAGTGGGATTTATGTAAAACTTGAGACTGACTTGGAAGTCTCTATTAGTAAATAGTTAATATTGTTATTACAACTGTGATTTCCTTAAGAGAATAAACTAGGTAGAAACATACTTATAATGGTTTACTCTTCTAATACTATAAGCAAAAAACTGAAAGTCAGTTAACTAATGTTCAAAGGTCAAACAAAAGTTATGAGGAAAGGGAAGGGACAACTTTCTTCTTGGGGTAATAACAAACTACATAAACATTTCTGAAATAAAAATAATTTGAGTTTAGAGACAGAAAAGCTTTAGTTTCTAGTTAATCACTGGGTAGGTATTCTATGAACTCAGGTTTTAGAAAGTTTTAATAAGATGAGGTATATTTCTGAATATTGTATATTCTGCATATTGTATATTTCTGTGTATTGTATATTCTGTATATTGGTTGAGGCTACAAGTGAGAATATATTCATTTACTACAATGAGGCAGAACTTATAGTTAAAATTATTTTACCTTAATATAAAAACTGATGCAGCGTGCAACAAATGCATATATGACCAAATTTACATATTTGTCTAGGAAAAAGCTTCCCCCTGCCATACTACAACTTTAAAAAAAAATTCAAACATGATTGTACATATCTGTGGCATACAAGCATTGAATATCAATACCTTGTACCACAACATTAAATGTACCCCGTTTCCATATTTGTGTTCACCAGATGACGCACTAGGTCCTAGTTATATGCCTTTATTCTGTGAAGGGTCAAGAAATGTGTAGGGCCGGCCCGGTGGAGCACTGGATAGTGCGCCGCTTGGGAAGCGCGGCGGCGCTCCCGCCCGAGGGTTCGGATCCCACATACAGACCGGTTCCCGCTCACTGGCTGAGCGAGGCGCGGGAGCAACACCGAGGGTTGCGATCCCGTTGCCAGTCCCCGGTCCGGTACGGGGGCAACACTGAGGGTTGCGATCCGTTACCGGACACGGAAAAAGACAAAAGACAAAAAGAAAAAAAAAAAGAAAAAAAAAAAAAA